ATATGAGTAATAAGCGAATGACAAGTTAGGGAGGCGTTTATTGAAAAGTTGTTGAGTAGTGTTTGAGAATTCAGTGCATGAAAGGTCGAGCAGTCGTTGATGGATTAAAATTAATCACTAAGTTAGTTAGGTTTGTTATCGATTGAGTAAATTTACGTTATTAGTGTATTAGGTCTACAGTAGTTTCAGTGTAAAAGTTAGAAGGTTTGTTTGTGAACATAAACCTACAACTTGGGTCAAAGTGAACGTAGCCTGTAGCAAACATTATTGAACAAATAAATTAATTCAGTATAGTTACCTTGACTGAACTTGGATTTAGTTTTACTAGATACTCCAAAGAACCCACTCAATGTGTATATGTGTGTATTTGTGTAATGTAGCCTTGTAGAAGTATTGGTGACTTGAATGTTTTTCACTGTTGACCAGAATATTCCACAGGAAAAAGTTTGAGCTCTAAGCTATTTTTTCAATGCGCTAATTTAGACGTTAAGATTTAAGAATTCTAAAAATACGTCTTTAATATTGTTACGCCTCCGTTCGTTAGTTAATTTTCCGTATAATTTCTTTCTGAAGAAACTTTAGCGATACAAGTCCTTTATTAAATAAAACTGGTTTATTCTTTGTAAATACAACTTTGTAATACACTTAATTTCCACGGTCACGCTATAACAAACGCTATAAATCACAACAAACGTCTCACGTGCTCAACAATACGTCTCTCGCTCTGTCCCCAGTTCAATTACACATTGTTGCCGTCACGTCTTGACCGTCTTATATGTACAAGAATACCGAAATCTAGTAACCTCCCGAGGCTTCATGAACGTTCTAGAAGCGCGTGACGTGTTACTAGAATCACGTGACCTCCGCTGTCGTAACAATACCTTTAATGTTCTATGTGACGTCACGAAATCTAGTATATTTTTAAAATATCTAGAAGTGAGAATCAGATACCAATACTAATGAGCTAGTAAATTTTCAACATAGTAGTTCAAAATCAATCTGTTTTGTTTTCAGTGGTAGAGTACCTGTGAAGTATTTGGATCAGTGTCTATTATTACATGCGTTCAGCTACTCAATCGATTAGCAGTGAAATTGTACGAATAAGTATATTTTTATGTTAGTCGTAGTACAATTAGCGAGATATTTCCATTTGAACGTCATTTGTAAACTTAGACCTACGAGCTACAACAGTGTAGAAACGAAGGCAACTTGTAGAAACATTAAGAAAGCAAAGTGGTGTCTTTACTTTGACTGAATCTCGAATTACTTTCACAAATAATTGGAAAGAACTCGCCCAACGGAAGAAAAAAGTTGCAATATATATGTGTGTGTGTGTGTGCAATGGAACCTTACAGAAGTTCTAGTGGCTAGAATTTTTGCACTTACAACGAAAAAACCCGCAAAAAAGAAAAAAAAATCTGTGAATCCTTCGAAGTAACGGGTCAAAATGTCAAGGTTTAATGACATGTTGTTTATTCTGGAGTTGTAATTACATGATTTCAAGCCTCAAGGTTACCCTAAAAGATATGTTACATGTGGAAGTTATCTATCTTGTTAAATGCATATATATGCCATACTAAGATTCCTCTGGCAGTCTATAGAGTTTAGGTATTTATGAGAGTGAACACTTTAGATGGTTTAACAGATAGGAAGATATAACAATTTCTCTTTAAAGCCTTGCAAAATATTTAATATCTGCTTGTGCAATGGAGAAATTCATTGATTTCTCTATTGTTAGCATTTTTATTGCAACAAAATATTCTTCACTTTGACAAAAGGAACAGAGGATATCTTGAAGTAAGAAAACCAAACGATTACGGTAACTCTCGCCACAATTGTAAGTGAATTACAGATAATACTAGTGTGATAGGGAAGAGAAGATAGTTCGGCTTGTCAACTGAGATTCTAAAGTAATTGAATAGGCCTAAGTGGATATTTGACAAGAAGGAGAA